CCTCAAGGACAAGGAAAAGCTATTTGAGGCTTGAAGGAGTTTCCTGGGGGTGGTGTAACAAACCACCACAAACTGGGTGGTGATTAAAACAACGGAAAAGTATTGTCTTACAGTTCTGGGAGCCAGAAGTCCAAGACCAAATGTCGATGGAGCTGCAGTCCCTCTGCAGCTCGTGTGTGTGTGTGTGTGTGTGTGTGTGTGTGTGTGTGTGTGTGTTGGGGGGTCCTTCCTGATGCTTCTAGTCTCTGGGGACTTCGGTGTCCCTTAGCTTGAGGTCACATTGCTCTGATCTCCACCTGCAACCTCATGTGGTATCTCCTCTTCCTGTGAGGATACCAGTCTTTGCCTCAGGGCCCACCCTACTCTGGCATGACCTCATCTTAACTAATCATATCTGCAAAGACCTATTTCCAAATAAGGTCCTGTTTCACATTCTGGGGCCCCATGGGGATATGGATTTTGGAGGACAGTGCTCACCCCCCTCAAGGCTCACCATGGGCTTACTCTCTTCCATTTTCCAAGACCCAGGATTTGTTGGGGGTGCTTCCTGGTTCTGAACCTCAGGCCCTAGGAACTCCGACTCTTGTTCCCAGGGTACCTGGGCCTGTCCTCCGCCTGTGGAGGTGACCTGAGCTCTGGGGCCCCCATTGGCATGTATGAAGCTTTAGCTCTCTTGGAGGGCTGCAGGCTCTGTGGGAAGAGTGGGAGCCATGAGGCCTGCTTTGGGGATCTTTCCCAGAGATGCTGGTGACATGAGCCAGCAGATGGTAGGCGGCTGCTTCTGTGTGAGACTTTGTGCCAGGCAAGACCATTAACCCTCAGGGAGCAAAACCCACACCTTCCTAACTTTGGCCTGACCTGGGAGCACTTTTTCCTTTCTCAGCACCGGGGATGGAACCCAGGGTCTGGAGTGTGCTAGGCACATCTCTGTCATTGACCACACCCCAGCCCAAGGGGCCATTGCTCTGGGTTATTGCCCATGTCCTGCATGTGCATTGGAATCAGGGTGTGCCTAGCTCATGTGCAGGGTGGCCCCTGACACTGGGTTTCAAAGTGGACATGTGCATGTGTACATTTTCTTGGGACTGTCCTCCATCTGTTCTGTTGCTCAGCATGGTGTTTTGGGCCTCAGACTCCAAAATTTATATGGAAAGCTCTAAATCCACCTTGCACAATGCCTGCTGACACATGGCAGATACTGGAATTTATTTGCTGAATTAGTGAGTGGAAGCTGGCCAGTCAACATCCCTGTGAAGAGGACTCAGTGCTGCCCCTCTAATGAGGCTCCTGGATTTCATCCGTGGTGTGGGGGTGGGGTGACTGGTGTGAAGCTAGGGGCACATAGAGTACTTGAACATATCTTGGTGAGATCTGTGGGGTTTCAAGCATTTGCTAAGTAGACTGAGGGTATTCATTATAAATTCTGCAAGCCAGGGCATTGGAGCTACACCTCTGCTGCTCTGGCTGAAGCCATGGTCCATGATACTCACATGTAAACCCAAGGGTCACCAGGTGGCCACTGTTTTATCCTCAGGTGCTCTTGAGGGTGGACATTATTAAGAATTTTGAAATGATGTCAATTTAGCCTTAAAGAGGTATGGGTTTCCTCAAAAGCCCTTGTGGGCAGAGGGCACATGCCTTGACCTGGACCTACCTGGTGTCTGACTGGATACATTTCAGTACTATGCCACTTTTCACTGAGTGCCTCATTGGACTGTTCTCTTGAGGCAACTACAGACCCACATGCAGTTGTAAGCAGCACAGCACACCCCCTTTCTGCATTTGGATCACTTTTGACTGGGTGTTCCTGTGTGCATCAAGGTACATGATGGGCTGTTCCATCACCCCCAGGATCCAGCCCACCCACCACCCCTCATGCTGTCCCCAGTGCAAATCCTTGATCTTTCCTCTATTTCTGAAGTTTTGGCCCTTTAAAGATGTGATATACACGGAATTACCATGTGCAGCTGCTGGGTTGGCTTTTCACACTGCCTGAATTCGTGAAGGTGCTCCGCAGCAGGATGATGCTGTGTCCCAGGCCTCTCCAAGTGTTTTCCAGGCCAAATACCATGCCCCAGAATTGTTTGGGAATCAAACACCGACTCTGAGAAAAAATGAAAAGGCTGCTTTTCTAGGTGAAAAGTTTCCATGTCTGGCTGCTACAGGGAAGCTGCAGGGGCCCTGCCTGGGCTGAGAGCTGAGGCCCACCCAGCAGATGCAGGGAAGGGGTGGGGTGTGTGTCCTCTGGGAGGCCAGTGTGCTCACACCAATGACAGTGAGGGAACAGGGTGGGCAGAGGATGAGAAGAAAGTCATAAACAAGAACAAAGAACACCTGCAAGCAAACGCACATTTTGCACTACTGCTGAGAGCCATGACGCTCGGCATTTTTGGTTGAAAGGTGACCCTGCTCGGGGATTAGGGTGGCTTCAGATTTAGGGTGGATCCTGCTGGATGAGGGTGGCTCCAGGTTTAGGGTGGATCCTGCTGGATTAGGGTGGCTCCAGGTTTAGGGTGGATCCTGCTGGAATAGGGCGTATCCTGCTGTCTCAGGTGCCGGCTCCTGGAGTTCCCGTTGAGTTCAGAGGGTATTTGGTACGCAGAGCCCAGTGGGGGATAAATTTTCCCAGAACGTGCGTGTAGAGTGCCGGTGAGAGTTCAGGAATAAAGAATTGCTGTTTGAATCTACAAGGCAGTGTGGTGGCCTGGTTATTCTGTGCCCAGCCAGACTGCGGCACACTATAAATTCTCTCTAGCAGGATTCCTTTTCTGAGCCCTAACCCTGGTCCTGGGGTGGCATCTCCAATCACCCTCCTTTGTATTTTCCTGGAGGGAAAGGTGGGTGGGGAATAGGGAAGTCTCCTCTAAGGCCCAGCTGTCATGACTAGGGTGATTTGGATTTGCTCCTATAGAAGTATAGTTTGTTAGGCACCTGCTGAAGTGGCTCCCAGTCGGATTCAGGCTTTAATGGGTCTCCTGGGGTGGGGGGCAAACCTGGCGACTTGATTTTCCCCAACGGAGCTGGCAGAAGTGCTTGGAGTAGCTCAGCTTCCTCTCAAGGCCAAGGTCCAATGGCTGGTCATCACCTGTTGCTGGGCCCTGCGTCAGGTTGCTGTGGCCCCTGTAACAAATGACCACCACCCAGGAGGCTTTAACAGTAGAACTTCGTTCTTTCCAGTTCTGCAGGCTGGAAGTCTGAATCGTTTTACAGGGTGGAAATAGAGTGTTGGCAGGCCAGGCACCTCCACGGCTCCTGGAGAGAACCCCAAACCTGCTGGCCACAGGTGTCTCTGGCTGTGGCTGCAGCCCTTCAGCTCCCAAGGCCTCAGTTTCAAACCTATCTGCTCCATCTTCACATGCCTTCTCTCCTTGGGTCAAGCTTCCTGCCTCCTGGTTACAGAGATACATGAGACTGTATTTGGGGCCACAGGATGACCTCCCTGTCTCTAGACCCTTAATTGCATCTGCCAAAAACAAAAACAAAAACTAGTGTTTTCTGTGTACAGAAGCCCTCACAGGCTGTTGGAGTTAGGACATCTCGGGTCACTTTTCACCACACAGTGTGGCTGGCTTCCTTGGGAAGGCAGGAGTTAGGTACAGGTGCAGCATCTGTGGTGAGCTGGATATCCTTCTGCTTGGATCCCAGGCAGGGGACATGAAAATGTGAAGCCAGCTCTGCAGACCACAGTTTGCCTCTGTCTGTGGGGGTGGCCCAGGACCAGAATGCAAGGCTGTCCTGGAGGGATCCCCAATAACATTGAGCAGTAGAAAGCCAACTTGCCTGAGTGACTCCATGACCTCTTAGATAACAGGACAAACAAGGTGTGCAGCTGTGACTCCCTAGATGCCCCTGTGAGTCAGGAATGGGAACATTCTAGATGATTTAGCATGTGGGGGAGGGTGGGATAGTTTTTGCTCTTGACCCTGCCACAATCTTTTTTGTCTGTTCCTGTGTGGGTTTCTGCTGCTGAACACTGAACAGTGTTGGCTCAGAGAAAATGTCTCTGAGCCTTGGAGGTTGGAGGCTGTGTTCATCAGCTTTCTGCCACTGTGACAAAATACCTGAGAGTATGAACTTAAAAGAAGGAAAGATGTATTTTGGCTCATGGTTTTGGAGGTCCCAACATTCTGGCCTGTGTCCAGGCAGAGCCTGGCAGGGAGTATGTGGTAGAGCAAAGCTGCCCACCTCACGGCATGTCCCCAGAGACCTCACTTCTTTCCACCAGGCCCATCTCCTCTGGTTCCACCACATCCCAAGAGTTCCATCAGCGGGGGACCCAGCCACCAACATGTGGCCTTTAGGGGACACTTAAGTTCCAAACTACAACAGAGGTGAGAGATGTACTCACTTAGGTCTTTGGGGTCAGGCTGCTGGTCAGTGTTCCTGCTCTTAGATCAGTATTCTCACGGTTTCCCACAATGCCAGCAGACTGGGAAACAGGAGGCCAGGCTAACTAGATCTGGGAGAGGGGTGAACTGGTGAGGCGACCGGCAACACTTGGAGCCATGGCCCCCACCCACTTGCGTTTTAGTGCCCCTTTTGTGATGCTCCCCTTGGTAGGAAGGGCCTCCAGCAAAGCCGGTGTGTGTGAGTGTTTCCTAAGGGACTGGGGTCTTCTTCTCTGCCGTGGAGGCTGGCCTCCCAGGGTCCCTAGCAGGTCTTGGGGTGGGCTCCACTCCAGCACTCCCAGGCCAGCGGACACACTCAGGAATTCCTTTGTTCTTTTTCTTTCAACGGGCATCCTGAGGATTGACCACATACAACCGAAGGCAGAAGGAGAGGCTCAACAAACTGGGCACACTGGTGTGCTGATGCCAGCTGATGCCAGCTCAGGAGTCGCCCAGCAGCTAAGAGCGCCCAGGAAGCTTCCGCCGCGGTGACGGTGACGCCTGGGCCGCTGTCCCTGGAATGGAGGAAATGTCTATGACCCTGCACAGGGCAGGGTTCCGTTTCCTGGAGAGAAACCCAACCCCGCTGGGACCTGTGCGACTCCTCCAGGGCTCAGTGGTCTCCAGGACTGTGAACTTCCGAACTGGAGCAGCGTGGCCAGCCCCGCACAGGCTCCTCTGTTACCCGCAGGGCGCCCGGCGACTTTCCCCAGGACGGGACTTCCCTGGCCAGGGCTCCCTCTGGTTCCCCAGGACTGCGTCCTTGGCTCTAGGTGGCAGCGCTCTGCGTCTACACCGACCCCATTCGCGAGCCGGGGCTGATGGAAACAGGTTCACTCGGGCACCCGAAGACTTGCCCAGCCTGCCAGGAATTTCCTAACCCAGGCTGCCTAGAGGGGTGGAGCCCAACGCCCACCGCCCCTTCCCGCCCCCACCGAGCCAGGGGTCGGGTCCTCGGCGTCGTCACGCCCTGGCTGGCGAGCGCTAGGACCCGCGCCGCCTTCCTGCGGGCCCGGAGTGGGCGGGGCCTTCCATTGTGACGTCGCAGGGGCGCGCTCCCCGCCCTCGCGGACAGACTGACAGACAGACCGGCGTGGCCAGCGCGGGTAAGGGGCGCGGGGCGCGGATCTGGGCGCGGGGCCGCCCGGCCGTCTGTCCTCTTCGGTGCGCTCTGAGACGCCCTAGGGAGGTCGAGGACACCGGGTCGGCCACGCGATCACGGCCTCCGCCGCGCCCCGAACCCCCCGCCGGGCCGCGCGCCCGCCCTTCCCCCACGGCGGACTTGCTCCCCCGGCCCTGTCACCCCAGTGGTGACTTCCTCCCGCCGTACGCCCTCCCCACCCACATGCACCCTCCTCTTACTCTACCCCAAGGCCGTGCGCTCTCCTCCCACCGCCATGCACCCTCCTCCCATTTCACCCCGCTTCCCGGCCTTGCGCCCTTCCCCGCTCCGGCCAGGCGCTCTCCGTCCTCCCAGCTGCCTGCTGGACAGAAGGCCCGGCGCGGGTCTCCAGCTCCCAGAGCCGCCCCGGTCCCGGGAGGGGGTCCTGCCCCGGCCGCAAGCCCTGAGGTGCCCTTGGTGCGAGCGTCAGCTTCGGCCTCCGGAGCGCCGCCCTCCCTGGCCCCACAGGCCCTTCAGCTGGGCAGCGGGAAGTGGTGCGCCGGAGCCGAGCTTCTACCAGGAGTTCTTTACTCTCGTCCCCCATTGCCAGACCCCGATGGTGGAGGATCGCGCAGGAGAGCGGCTGCAATGTAGAGGGGAACGTCACTCTGCGGATTCTGGAGCTGTGAGAGCGCTGGGGCTCGTGCCAGGTGGACTCCCGCCGGACGGCAGGGCTGCCGGGTGCCCGGGATGGAGGCAGAAGGTTTGGATTGGCTTCTGGTCCCGCTGCATCGGCTGGTTTCCTGGGGGGCCGCCGCAGCCATGGTTTTTGGGGGCGTGGTGCCGTACATCCCGCAGTACAGGGACATCAGGAGGACTCAGAACGCCGACGGCTTTTCCACCCACGTGTGTCTGGTGCTACTGGTGGCCAATATTCTACGGATACTCTTCTGGTAAGCTGGGGCTTTGACCTGAGGGTGCCTGGGGAGATGGCATTCTCTTTTGGGGTTTGTTCCAGATGAGAGGCGAGGGTGGAGGTGTCTACTTCCTCAAAGGGACCCATTCACACCTTCGGGTGGCTCAGGGGCCCATTTTACAGGTGGCTGGTGTGGGACCTCCGCAGTCACTGAACTTCTTAGAATGAGAATATTTCTCTGGAGAAGTTGGAATACTCTCAAATACAGTCTCCAGATCTGCCTTTTTATTTGATGAGTGGCTTATCTGTATCTGATACTTCCTCTTTGTGAGCATTTCCTGGGACTGATTCTAGTGGTGGGAAGGGGCCCTCTGCCTGGCAGACTCTTAGCTGGTGTGGTTTTATTTTCCTTAGAAAGGAAGTCCAACCTTCTGGATAGTACTCAATTGGAGACTGTCTTCTTGCTTCTCTCAGGCCAGCTTCCTCTTACTCTCATTTGTGTTCTGCGAGGAAGTTGAGGTTAGTTTAACAGTTGCTAAAGCAGACATAATTTGGAGGGTGAATTTTCAGAGGAAATGAAGAGAGAGATATCAGAGCCTCATCCTAAGGTTAAAGAGGTCTGGCATTTTTCCTTCTTCTGACTGGTCCCAAGGCTTCTGTGCTGATAGGAAATTTTCATGAGGGTGGTCAGCTGAAGCGGCCCAGAAGAAAGGCTCAGGCAGTTTCCCACTTTCTGGATGCAGTTTGAGTAATCATGTATCTGCCTTTTGCTAATTAGCATCAAACCAGTAGCACCAAGCCGACCTTAGTGAGGTATGATTCACACTAACTAAAATGTCCCTGTTTGAAGTGTACATTCCAATGCGAGACTCCCTGAACTCAGGAGCTGCAGGTTCCCTCTTTCTGCTCTGCCCTGGGCCAGATGCTGAATAGCCCTGGGATGGGTTTTGCCCCTGTCTGGGATTTTTAGAAGTCGAACTAGTGAGTTGAATCGTGTAAGAATTTGGTGGAGTGGGAAGGTTTGGCCATTGCAGCAATGTTGGATACCTTGAGCTTTGTCTCTGGGCCAGGAGACTTCTGAGGAGGCTCTTACTGTTGTCTGAAGAAAGTTGTAAGACCACGTTTTGAAGATTTTTCCCTTCCTCCTCCTTGTCCCTTGGCTGAGGGTGGAGGTCCCTAGCTATCCCGTGATGGGACTGGGTGCCCTGAAGTGGACTTATCTCAGGTTGAATGGAAATATCTTCCGAGATAAAATTGTGTTCAATGATGTCGTTCACCTTGAGCATGAACAGAGCAGGGCACACTCCCAGGCAGGCTTCTCAGTACAGCCCAGGCACAGTGTCCAGACTGTGAAGGAGGGCGTGCTTGTCTTTCTCCAGAATAGAGGAGAATCACATGAAGTTGATTGATGAATGGGAAAAAGTGCCCCTTTGAGTGTTTCCATCAGTATGCTATTGTTCAGAATTAAAAAAAGAAAATAAAGTTTTAATGTACATTTGAGCACATGGTGTGGGGAAGTCATAAGTGAGGCCAGTTTCCTGGTGTTGCCTGGAGACTGCCCCTAGTGCTCCCAGGGGAGAAGTACACAGGAACTGGTGTCCTTGCCTTTGCGCTGGGGCCTCTGAGGCCCTTGAGTGCTCTCCTAGGGGTTACAGGGCCACCTTCCTGGGGATGCCAGGCTTGTCTGCAGGTGTTCCTTTCTGTAGAAACACATACTGAGCTGTCCTGGGCCACTCAGGCTTCTATGGTCACATATAGGCCCTGGCTCCCCAGCATGTTCCAGAAGACTGGGAGGAGGACCCAGAGGGTGATGGCCCTTCTCTGGTCTGCAGCCTAGCCTGTCCCTTCCCTGCTTCTTGCGCAGTGGGCCTGAGGGTAGTCTGCCACATGTCCCCAGTGCTGCTGAAGGACCTTGGAAACCCTGCTGGCCAAGGCCATGTGCTGATCCTTATATCCCTGGAGCCCCTCAGAGCCCTGTGCATGTCTCCTTCCAAGCTCCAGGCCAGCAACCTCTGATCCTATAGATTTTGAGGATTTCCCTGATGTCAGGCATGGCCAGGGCCACAGGGCTTTTGCTTTAGCAGGAGTAATACTTGAAATGCACCACCATGCACACATGCAGGTGTATATGTGCCCCACCCCCCATGAACACTCAGAGTGGTTGTGGGTGGGGCAGAGTAGGTGAAACTGGAGCCTGCTACATACCAGGATGGTGGTGGAGCTGGAGGCTTCATGGATTTCACAGTGCTGGCTGGGATTCAGACCTCAGACCTCCGATCCCCTGTGATATGTCCTACCCCTATTGAGAGCTGCTCTACAGTCCTGCAGGAAGGGGCTGATTTGAGTGTAAACTCAAGGATTCTGAAACTTATGTAACTCTCATGCCCTCATTTCTTACAATTTTTGTCATTTTGCAAAACTAGCATTCAGCAGATCACACTCCATGAAATGTCAATGTGGAATTTGGTGTTTGTGGTGTCAGAAGTCAGAAGTGCCATGTGATTATTTGGATCACATTTATAGGTCTGGGGGGTGAGTGGGCAAGGAGGGCTGGGTCCCAGAGCCTTGTGATCTCATTATGGAATCTGTGAGGCACAGGTCACATAGCTCAGCCTCTGCTGCCTCTTGCAGGGTTAGTTGTAAGAATGGAAACACTGTATCTGAGATGCAGTAACATTATGCTACTGAGTGATATCTTCAGCACTGAGGAGTAGCTATTAACTTTTTTTCCACTTGAGTTTTTCTATTACTGTGGAAGGTGGAGAAGCTGTCTGTAGAATAGATTGCAGGACTTTGTGTGCCCCTGGGGGCAGCATGGGCACCTGCACCCCACCAGAGCCCACTTGGATGGGGTGTTCAGAGTGGCTCTAGGAACAGGGCTGCTGGCCCTCAGAGATGCTGTGCTCACTCACATCCTCAGGCAGGAGAGCAGGAGCTGTTGAACACCTTGCCAGCCAGACTCATGAATCCTGAAAAGTAAAGACCAGCACCTTTCTATTTAAATTATCTTTTAAAAATTAATGATGTTGGGCTGTGGCTGTGGCTCAGTGGTATAGCACCTGCCTCGTGCATGTGGGTGGGGCTCTGGGTTTATTCTTCAGCAATACATAAAAATAAATAAATGAAGATATCATGTCCATCTGCAAATAAAAGCAAATATTTTTAAAAAGATTAATGATATTGAGCTTTGGTTTATTTTTCTTTTGTCCTTTGTATATTTTTTTGTGGAAAGTGTTCCTTTTGATGTTTTGTCTCCTGCTTGGTCTGTACTCACCTGTAGTCAGCTAGCTGTATGTCCACCTCTGTTCCCTCTGGCCCTGGGTGAGATCTGCTGGACCATCTTCTCTGTGGACATCAGTTAAATCTGATTGGTGGTATGGTATGGGGGAGTGCAGACTTCAACTGCTTTCTCCAGTTTTTCTAGTTGCTGTGTTTCTGTTGAATATCTATAAAATGGAAGTAGTCTTTTGGTCACAGTGGCCATTTGTTGAAGGGCCCCTGTTGAGAACTTGATTCAGGAATTCATTTTATTGTGCTGCAGGCTTACATAGTGACCCCTAGAGGCTTCCCACTCCCTCACCTGACTGCCTTGGGGTAAGTTGGACAGCCAGGTAGCTGGTGGGGAGCCAGCCTGAGAGGGACTGTGGTTGGCTGTGTAACCCCCGCAACCTTAGATATGTCCTACACTTCACAGGTGAAGAGACAGGTTTGCGGATGGAGGGTCCCAGGGACATTAGCTGTTGCAGCACATGACTACAGGCACACGTGGGCAGCATGCCTAAGTCCACTGCACCAGCCCTGTGACTCAGAAACCCCTGTTGCAGCTGCCTCTTTCCAGCTGGACCTCCTGACCTGGGTCTGGCTTCCACACCCTGTCTTGTTCCAGCCTCTTCTTAGTTCCTCACCTGGTATTTCCTGGTGGCCTCCCAGGGAGGGCTCTGATGACACTTCCTGGGGATGCACTGGCCTGCCTGTCTGTGCCCTGGCCCCCCCATGTACCCTGTGCCTAGGTTGCTCTCTTCCTACTTTCTGTGGATTCCATCTTGCCCCCCCCCACCCCCCACCCCCAGGAGACTATCTGAGACTTTCCCAGTGGCCTGCCTGTAGTCTGTCCCCTTACACACACCTCCTCCCCCAGGCATACTTATTACCTGCTAGGCCTGCTGATCTGGGCAGGGGCAAGGTTGCCATGGTTCAGAGCCTTGGAGAGGCCTACTGTGTTAGGTTTCATGTTGGCAGTGAACTGTGCTCCCAGGTTTGGGCTTGTAGAAGGTGACTGGTAGCACACAGGTGAATCCGGGATCTGTTCTCTGTGTTAAGGGGACTGTTTTTCTCGTGGACTGTGTAGAGCTCTCATATACACTCTTCAAGGCTAGAAGACCAGGCCACATCCAGTTTTGTCTTGTACCAGTTGCTGGGAGGAGTGTTACCACCAAGTTTTATAAAATGCTTTTTTTTATTTTAATTTATGGAGTGACTTTGGCATGTTCCTTGTCACAGTAGCAGGCATTTCCTGAGCAGGTTTGGCCATGGCTGCAGATCCTCAAGGCCTCTGGGTGTGTGGGCCTGAGTAGTGGCCACTCTGCCAGTTTTGCCCTGTGCTGAGGACAGGCCACTTCCTGTGGGCGCTGCTCAGGAGCTGCAGTAACAGGCCCTCCAGCTGCCTGTACCCATGCTGGCCTCAGAGGTGACTTGTGGGATGGGGCTGTGGTGTGTGAACTTCAGTGTTGAGGAGAGGCTGGGAGTTAGCAAGACATCCAGTGTGGTGTGTTGACCCCAAGTTCAGGGGAAATGCCTTTCAGGCCAAACTCTGAGGCCATTTCTAGCTGGAGTGGTCAGGTTAGGGTGAGGGAGGAGGCTTTCTTTCCTTCCTTCCTTCCTCTGGTGATTGAACCCAGAGTGGTAGCACTGAGCCACATCCCCAGCCCTTTTTGTTTTTTATTTTGAGACAGGGTCTTACTGAGTTGCCCAGGCTGGACTTGGACTTGCCATCCTCCTACCTCAGCCTCCCCAGTCACTGTGATTACAGGTGTGGCA